CTGTAACACTTTAATATAAAAAAAGCCTCATCAAAATAGTGTAGAATTATAATTAAAATTAAAATGGACTGATATACCACTGTTCTAGTTACTTTCTATTGCTGTGATAAAATACTGGCCAAAAGCAAGTTGGGGAGAAAAGGGTTTATTTCACTTGTCAACTTACAGTTCATCATGGAGGGGAACTAGGGTAGAAGCTCAGAGCAGGAACCTGGAGGCAAGAACTGTTGCACAGACCATGGAGGACTGCTGCTACTACCTTGCTTCCCTCACCCCACTCCTGGTACCAGTGTCTATTTTAGTTTGTTTCTCTGTTGCTGTGACAAAACGCTGACCAAAACCAACTTGGGGAGGAAAGGGTTTATTTTATTTTAGTCTTCCAATATCCATCTTTGGGGGATGTCAGTGCAGGAATTCAAGGCAAGATCCTAGATGCAGGAGCTAAAGCAGAGACCATGGAGGAATACTTTGTCTTTTAGTGTCTTGTAGCTTGAATATGGTAATACAGATTTGCAACACATAACCACTATTATCTCAGTTAATTTCACACTAGCTCATAAAATAATAGAGGAAAGAAAACACAACTACTTAATATGTGTGTGTATGCATGAACATGTTCTCAACAAAGTAGGACAGAATGTCAATTACCATTGTTTCTTCAACTGATCACATGGCCTTCACTGATATTTGTAATTACCTTCCTCTACTACCCGTTCTGTATGTTCTCCACCTCAGTGAGCACCTCAGCAGATCTTGGCTCTTCCTTGGAGGAGTGACCCATACCTTTATCCTTGAAAGATCTGGGCCATTTGGTGTCATGTCTGGATTGAGTTGTTGCAGTTTCTCATTTACCTGCATTCCAGATTACTTCCTTGCCTCCACTGTGGAGAGGCAGTCTATTTTCTCCCTGGTAGTCTGGATCAATCACTCCTCCTAAAACTGTAATTCCTTTCTTAGCCTCTTGACCTAGGGACATCAGAAGCCCAAAGTGGCCAGTGGGAAGTTTTAACTTACAGTTCAATGGAATGTGCTTTATCTCCTGGCAGAAAGGCTCCTGCCTAAAACTTCTAGGCCAAGAGAGCATAAAGTCTTGAGAACAGGAAGGAAAATTTTTCCTCGTGGGTCACTAGGAGTACCACTGATAACCATATACAAGGAAATGGCAAAAATAATGTGGAGTAAATTATAAAACTAAAAAGTAAGACAGAGGTAATAGTGAACTAAAAGAAAGGGACTGATGAGGGGAAAATGAGGAAATGTTAAGTAGGATGAAACAAATATAAGAATGAATGTGAGGAAGAAGAAAGGAGAGAGTATATAAATAAAATTAAAGGTAAGAAAAATAAGAAACAATAAAGAAAGTAAAATAAAGCAATGAGGTTGTCCTGGATGCTTCAATGCAGGAAGCTCCTCCAGTGCCACCAAATCCCCCTGTGCTCCCAGACCCTCCGATGCCCTCCAATGCCCTCAGATATTTCAGTGCCTTCTGCCTGACCAATGCATCCAGGTCAAGAAATATGCCAAGGTTTCCCAGTACCCCCAAGTTTCCAAATGTTTCCTGGCCTCCCAATGCAGCCACATCTCCAAATGCCCCAGAGTTATCAGGCCCACAAGTTATTTCAGGTTTCCAAGAGTCCCCACCTACCCCAGTTTGCCTATACTTCTCAAGTCACCAGGGCCTCCATGTTATCCTAGTTTTCCAATACTTCCTGGATTCCCCAGGCTTTTCAGGGCCCCAAGTGTCCCCCAGTCCACCCATACTAAAGAGCAGAAGCGGGAACTGGAAAAATCTTCCAGAAAGTGCCAGTTACCTGTCCTGTGATGACCATGTGGCATTGGCGGAAAGGACTGATGTAACGGATCACCAAGTCCTGGTCTGGTTTCAGAAACACAGAGCTAAAAACTAAGAATTCCCAGGAACAACTTGACATGTTCAACGAGGATCCAGAAGTACCCTCTGAAGTCCCAGCTACAGCTTCAAATGCAACTGCCTGAACCCAAGAGAAGGCTCCAGACACAGCTACACCTGCAGCCCCAGCAGATGCTCCAGGGGCAGTTCCAGATGCAGCAGCAGGCCCAGCAGAAACTCCCCATGCAGCATAGTCCCAGGCTCACTGGATTCTCCAGGCTTCTCCATCTCCAATGGCTCCCCTCGCTAAATACTGACTTCATGCAAGTCTTCTCATTCCTAGATAGACCCTTACAAATCCTTGGTGTGTCATTTGTGTGTAAGGACAAGGTGGCATTGCAGATCAGGACTCATCTGCCTTGAATAATTGTTAATCTATGAGGGGCAGTCCCTGCTGTGTCCTGCAGATCTCCAGGCCAGTTCCAGGTGGAGACTCCTGCTTCCTGAATGGGTCAGTTTCTTAATGTGCTGGACATGGCCCTGCTGAGTGTCTCCACTGGCTATTTGGGGGATGTGGAGAGCTTGTCTGTGGGTTTCTAGGAGTAGTAGTGGGGGCGTTGGGTGTGGGTGCGTTTAGTTTAAGGGACATTGCCTGTGCTGACCCCTGCAACCTTTCCTCTACTGCATCCTGCTCTCTACTGCACCCTGCTCTCCACTGCACCCTGCTAACCACTGCACCCTGCCCTGTGTTGCGTCTTACTCTCAACAGCATCCTGCCTTGCACTGCATACTGCCCTCTACTTGGTTCTACTGGATGTTTTCACCCTCACTCTGTGTGTGTGTGTCTGTGTGTCTGTGTGTGTCTGTGTCTGTGTCTGTATGTCTGTGTGACACTGGGCTTGTTACTTCAGTCCTGGTTGGGCTTTCTGTGTCAACCAAGATAACCTGGAACTCAGGGTGACCATCCTACCTGGGCCTTAATTCTTGCTGATGACTGGTAGTGTGATTTTTCTCATATGCACATCAGTAATTGTCACTTAATATCTTCATCTGTATCTCATTAGATTCTGATTTAATATTTAAAAAAATAAATCATTTTGCCAATCAAAAAAAATAATGAAAAACCCAAAAAGAGTACTAAATTATACTAGAACAAAGGGAAAACTAAAAGGGAAAATAAATGTAAAAAATGGCAAGAAATGGGGTTGCTTCTTTCTTGGGCCTTAATGTTAGAGTCTTCTGGATGAGGGAGTGATGAGTTGACACTAGAATCTTTTTTTTCTTCAGTTCCTCCTATTGCTGAGCCCTGGCCGGTTAAGTGTCACCTGTCCCGCAGGCCTTCATCCACCTTAGAAGCTTCCCTTTGAATCTCCAGAGCTGCTGCTGGCTGCACTAAGCTTTGTTGTCTATTTACCATGCAGGTTCTCACTTGATCCGGAGATCAGCCCACTCCAGTTTATATATGCTAGGTAGCTAATGGTAAAGTTGAGGAATGCATTGAAAAGCAGAGGAAAACAGAGTACTGAGATGTCACCAGAGTGGGAGAGTCAAGGGAACCCAGAATTTCAGCCTTCAGATCTCTGTGCTTTCAGATCCCAGCAGCAGTAAACCACCCTGTTGTAGACAGGAGGTTGTGAAAATCAAATCATCCCCCAAACAGCTCAAAGTTCTTGATCCTCCCTGCAGCAAACTACATGTGGCAGTGAGGCAGCTTTAGAGGCTGAGCAGTTCACTAACCACCGTGGGCTCAAGACTTTTGGTCTTTACTGTTACTCTCAAGTTAGTGGTTGGATTTGTGTCTCACCAGAGGGAGTGGCCACCTACTAAATGTACCTTTCACAGCCTCAGCCTCCTGCTGTCTAAAGCTCTCAGTGTGTCCATGTCTGACCCATGTTGCACAGCTGTCTCTTGATACCTAGAAAGCACATACTTTCCTATAATCACGACAGTGGGAGAGTGGTTAACTGTCTGATATGGATAGAGTGTATATATATTATATAATAAATATAATATATAAATATATAATAGATGTATATTATGTATGTATATACATAGACACATATACATGTATTTATTTAAATTTTCTTACATTTAACTGTTGTGTGTATGCATGTACACATGTGTTTCTGTATCACAGTGCATGTGTAAAGGTCAGAGGAAAACTTGGAGAAATCAGTTCTCTCCTTCCATCATGCTTGTGCCAGAGATCCAACTCAGGTTGGCGGAATTGGTGGTCAAGTGCCTTTACTGGCTGAGCCATCTCATTAGACGTAGATACACTTTAAAAGTAGGCCCTCACAAATAATTTAGAATTTCTAAATTGCATCTTTTCTCTTGCTTCTTGGCCTTTGCACAGGCTGCTTCATGTGAATACCCTTGGCCTCTCTTCTCTCCATACTTCCATATCTTTACCTAACTTCTTCATTTCTTGTCCCCTCACACAGGTGTGCAAACATTTCTTCCTCTTAATGTCACTTCTCTTTTAATGTTCAGGACTATTTTCAATTCATCAGGACTGGTGCAGCTCCTTGTTCACAATTTAAATGGTACATGTGGGCAGCCCTGCCACTAGCCTAAGCAAGAGCAGTAGTGACTGTGGCAATGGGCCCTGCTGCCTCTTGCATGACTGCATGGCTGTTGCTCTCTTTTGTGTGACTCTGGTACCTCAGGGCTCAGGTGGCCATGGAGAACGGGTGCTAGACCAGCTGCCTACTCAGCATCCACAGTTATATAGCTTGGGTTACAGCAGCTCAGTCTTAGAACCAGGTCTCTGGACAAACTCAAACAACAGAGTCGTGGCATCGGGAGGCATGCTAGGATTTTCTTATTTCTTGATCCTTTAACCCCCAGTTCACATTAAGCTACATTGTGTATGCTTTCTATTGCCCTGCAATACCTTCTTTATCTCTCTTGCAGTATTTTTCTCTCTGTATTATATAATCTATGATTTTGCAATCTTTTCCTCTTAATTTAGTATTCATCAAGAACATAGTTCATGTCTTAGATATCTCTAGGTTTGAAGCATCTAGCACTGTCCTAAGCACTGAGTAACTTCTTAAATACATTGGAAGAATTCGTCTTTTCAGTAAGATATATGCAAGTGCCTCTTAACAGAACCACTTTCTTTCCTGAAATGTCATTTTCTTCACAGACTGATTTTTTGCCACCTCACAGCTTCTTGTGGCAGGGATCTCTCCTCAGTATTTGAAACCAACCAATATCTCACAGAGTTAGAATTTGTAAAAAGTACCCTGGAAGATTCAGGAATGAAGTTTCTATGTGAAGGATTAAAACGCCCAAGCTGTACATTGCAGTCATTGAGGTAAATGACAGTGGATAATTTATTTTTTCATTCATACCATTTTTAACTGAATTCTGTTTCTGTGAGGGGGAATGTAAATAAGGTAATTAGGTCATTTTTCTGTTTTCTAAAGGTTGTACCGCTGCCTTATCTCTCCGGCTTCTTGTGGGGTGCTGTCTTCTATTTTTAGCACCAACCAGTGGCTCACTAAGCTCGAGTTTTATGAAACCAAACTGGAAGTTACAGCTTTGCAGTTGCTCTGCGAAGGCTTAAACGATCTAAATTGCAAGTTACAGAAGCTCAAGTAAGTTGGAACTGTTAGTAGTTATCATTCTACAATGATTTTTTTAATGTAAAATTCAACATGGATGTTATGCCATCAAAACACATTTCAAGGACTCATAGAAAGGAATAACAGTAGCAGTCCTTTAAAATGTCCCTATGAGCCAGGTGTGGTGGCATGTGCCTTTAATCCCAGCACTTGGGAGGCAGAAGAAGGCAAATCTCTGTGAGATCAAAGCTAGCCTGGTCTACGTAGCAGGCTCCAGGCCAGCTGGGGCAACAGGGAGACCCTGTCTCAAAAAACCCAAATAAAATACAAACAAAATAAAATGTCCTTATGTAAGTAACATGGTTATCAAGAGAATTTTTTCTTTCAAGGGGAAATGTCATCAATGAAAATAATAACTCACATTTATAGAATAATTACTTTGTGGTAACTGTTGTGCTAAATGTTTTGTATGCATGATTTAACTTAATCTGTACAATAGCTCGAGAAGTCTAGATTATTATTCTCACTTCAGCAGAGGAAGAAATGGAAGGCCCACATCATTAGGCTAAGTATTTGGCAAGGCAAGACACAGTTCAAATCCCAGATGTAACTGACTCCAAGGTCTGTGGTATTCATACCTCAGTCACATATTTATTATGTATATACTAGGGTTTTCCAGAGAAACAGAACCAATATGTATATGTGTGTGAGAGAGAGACAGAGACATAGAGAGACAAGAGAAAGATAAAAGGGATGAGAGATGAGAGAGAGACCAAGACAGACAGACAGAGATGTAATTATGGAAGGTGGTAAGTCCCAAATCTGTAGGTTAGGCTGGTAGGCTAGAGACCTAGGTAAGAATCTTTGTTGTAGTTCAAGTTCAATTTCCTATTCAGAGAAGGTCAGGTTTTTTTTTTTTCTGATTTCAACTGCCTAGACAACACCCAACCATAATACTTGAGTCTGATTAAAATGCTAACGCTTACCTTCACAGAAACGTAGTGCTTGACTAAATATCTGGGTATTGTGTTCTAGCCATGTTGACAGTCAAAATAGCCATCTTAGTACCTGTACAAATTTTGTTTAATGCAAAAGTCTTTAATAGTAAAGCTTTAAATTTTATTAATTTTTATGTGTATGAGTGTCATATATGTGTGTGTGTGTGTGTCTGTGTGTGTGTGTGTGTGTGTGTGTGTGTGTGTGTGTGTGTGTACCCAGCTGTACAATGCCCTCAGTGGTCAGAAGAGGGCATCAGATCCCCTGGAACTGTCATTACCAAATGGTTGTTAGCGCCCATGTGAGTGCTGGAAACTGAACCCACTGTCCTCTGTAAGAGCAGCCAGTACTGTTAGCTGCCAAGCCATCTCTCCAGCCCCTACATCAAAGATTTAATATTTTTATTTTATTTTTAATTGTGTGTGTGTGTGAGAATAGGTGAATAGGTGTATTTTAGCATATGTTGCCCACAGAGACCAGACCCAACATGTGCCTACAGAGGCCTGAACTGACATGGGTGCTGGGAATAGAACCCAGATCCTCTGCAAGAACAGTATGTGCTCTTAAGTACTGAGCCATCTCTCCAGCCCCAACATTAAAGCTTTTTAAAGATCCCCCTTGAGAACTCACGACACAAAAAAAGCCTTTATTTGAAATTTCTAAATTAAGATTAGATACATGAGCCTTCTTGAAAACTGAATTTACAAGTTGTACGTCAGGAAAATATTGAGGATTCAAAAATTGTCATTCGTATCTAGAAATTCTTGATATTGTTAGAATAGAAAGTTGTTGGGGGGCCTGAAGAGAGGAAATGAGTAGTCCACTAAAGAGACCAGCTCTGTCTGTGCATCTTTTTCTACAGGTTGTGTGCCAGCCTTTCCCCAGGAAGCTCAGAGGCCATTTGCAAGTCTCTTGCCTCTGTTCTCATTTTCAACCCATACCTTATGGAGTTGGATCTGAGTGAAAACCCCCTGGGGGACAAAGGGGTGAAGTATCTTTGTGAAGGTCTCAGACATTCCAGCTGTAAAGTGGAGAAGCTAGAGTAAGTTTCTAAGAAGTATCTGGCCTGTAGTGACCTTTGAACTTTTAAAATTTTTGCTATGTACTTGGTGCTTGTCACAAGTTACCTCATTGTAGTCTCACAATAATCATACAAGTTGCTTTTTACTATGTCTGTTTTACAGCTAAAGAAACCAAGGAACTACGGAACAGTAACTTTTCCCATTCCATACAGCTAAGCCATGTAGTCAGGATGTTACTCCAAATTTAGTCCCAAGTCTGATGTTTTCTACATGCTACATCTTTATAGGCATTATACTAACTAAATATTCACTATATAAAGAATAGCTCTGTCTACTTGATAAGGGGCTAGATGTGCGTGGTGTTTCCAGAAGTTCTTCAAATTACAAGGCTGCATTTAGGGACACACAGATACATACTAGCTATCAGCTGAGCCAAGGGAAGGGAAGAGGGTCAATATGGGCTGGAGACCAAAGCAGGAGGTTCTCTCGGGAGGTGAGATAGGAGCTGGAACTCAAGGGAAGAGGCAGAGAAATCGGTAGAAAATTCACAGGAAGCCAAAATAACAGCAGTGACTGATTTCTCTTTTCTTTTTCTCTGGATAGCTTGAGCAATTGCCATCTCACAGATGCTAGCTGTGTGGAGCTCTCTTCATTTTTGCAAGTGAGTCAGACTTTAAAAGAACTGTTTGTGTTTGGCAATGTCCTGGGGGACACGGGCGTCCATCATCTTTGTGAAGGTCTGCTGCATGCAAAAGATACCACTGAGAATCTTGTGTAAGTGCTTGTCCTTGTCTTTCTCTTTGGCTTGAGCATGTTAAGGATCAGTGGGACTTTCTGCCGCTACAGTTAAGAGCCACCTCATGTCTCCATCCCTCCAGGCTTTCTGAATGTTCCCTCTCTGCAGCTTGTTGTGAGCCTCTTGCACAAGTCCTCAGCTCTACCCGGAGCCTGACAAAGCTGCTGCTAATTAATAATAAAATTGGAGATTTGGGACTGAAGTTGTTATGTGAAGGATTAAAACAGCCTGACTGTCAGTTAAAGGATCTGTCGTGAGTATCATAAACTGTACACACAGGCAGAGTTTTCTAATATTACAGCAACTCCAAAAAGTAAGTATTTTTTGGCCTGGTGGTTGAATATCTAAGAAAACAAAAAAATTGAAGAACCAAATAATTCAGAGGGAATAAATCATCCTTTCTCCTCAATCACTGCTTATCCAAGGGTTTTTTTTTTTTTTTTCACATGGTACTTTGGATCTTCTAATGTGTTTTTTTCTAATGGGAAAACCCAATTTCTAGAGTGACTCAGTGCAGGTGAGATGATAGCAACCTTCTTTATATTATTGCTTATTGGCAGGTTGTGGACCTGTAATCTGACGGGAGTGTGTTGTCAGGATTTGTGCGATGCACTCTCTACCAATGAGCACCTAAGAGACCTTGATCTCAGTGATAATGCTTTAGGTGATGAGGGCATGCAGGTCCTGTGTGAAGGACTGAAACACCCCTGCTGTAAACTACAGATTTTATGGTAAGTACATGAGGATTCACTGTTTAGAAAGCTTTTGTTCCAGGCTGCATATGAAAGGGAGTGGCAATAGGAAACTTGGGATGACATCAACTCCTTTCTTTGTCTTTCCCCCATAGTTTGAGAGGCAGGTTGAGACATTTTTGCCACATAAGCCAGGCTGGGTTTGGACTTCTAGCACTCCTCCTGCCTTTGCTTCCTGAGTAGTGGGGTTACAGGTATATAACACTGTGCCTGGTCAAACTGATTTATTTCTTAAATCTTAAATCCTTTACAGGTTGGGAGAATGTCATCTCACAGACACATGCAGTGCTGCTCTTGCCTCTGTCCTCAACAGAAATGTGAGGCTCACATTACTAGACTTAAGTGGAAATTATTTCAACGATTTGGGAGTGCAAATGCTGTTTGATGCACTGTCTCATCCAATGTGTAAACTTGAGACGTTCTAGTAAGTCACTACTGTGGGCACAATGGGAAGGAGAGGATAAGGATGGGCATTTGGTCATAGACAGCTGCTGTGAAAAAGAGAAGAAAAACTGAGGCAGGCCAAGCCTACGTAGAATAGTAAAGGAAGTCAAATCACCAGTAGACCTCCTCCTTGAACACAAAGACAGAAGGAGAGTCAGATAAGAAGCAGTCTGTATCTCATTGCTAAGAGAGCATGATAGAAGAGAAAGAACATAGGATGTAGATTTTGCTAGTTTGGGCTCTAATCCTAGATCTGTTACCTACTAGCAATGTGATCATGCTTACTTCATCTCTCTGAGCTTCTGTGTCCTTGACTGTAAAATGGAGATAATGCCAGTTCTTGACTACTTGGAGTCAGTATGAGGATTGAGTTGAGACTCCAGCTGTGAATGTACCCAGTACAACTCTTAGCATATAGAAGGTACTACACGTTAAGCCAATTTCATTTCTGCTTCTAGTACCTGCTAGAGTGCTAATGTGAACATTATGAGAGTCTTGAAGCTCAAGGAGATGAAGCTGTAGTGGTACAATTTCAGAAGGTGGAGGTCTTGACCTTCTGGGATCAGTGTCCTTCTGCCAGCTCGGCAGGCTGACATGTCATACAAAATGATTCTTAATTACAATGCAGATATGCTCTGTTGGCAGCTAACCAGTGGCCAAGTGGCCATTTGTTTCTGGTATTCAGAACTGGAACACAATGAAAAGTCAAGAGTGAGTGCAAAAATCCAATATTCCAAAGGCAGTTTGATAGATTGAAGCAGTCCTGAGCTCAGCATAAAGACCTGATTGCAAGCCTGAAACAGAAACTGGCTCTCTACTAGCAAGTGAAGTCATTCAATTTCACAGATTCAGGAGAGTAGTGATTACTGACTAAGCAGAGGGAATTATGTACAACATGATGAGTCTTTGGGGTTAGGGACCTCCATAGTATTATGAAGTATTATTCTCAGAAAGATGTGAATGGAACCTTTATTGTCAAGAGATTGAAATAAACTCAATTGTACACCTTAATGTTTCTTTAAATGTAGAATAGCTTAACAGTTGCACCACCCTGCAGTACAGGTTCTAAGTAACAGCAAGGAGAAATTATTTTGTCAAGATGGAATGCCGTTATGTATTTTTATTGTAAATTATGGTGCCATTTCCCATTTATCTCATCCTTAGTCTTTCTATTGTGTTTTCATGCCAACCTTTAAACCTTTATAGCCTGTCATGCAACATCATAACAGTAAGCAATAATAATATTGAGTACAAAATGAAAGATCATACAGAGTATATATAATTTTCTGCCCTCAAATACAGTTTGGATGTTAGACTATACAAGGACAAAACTGAAATCAATAGAACTAAATAATTATCCAGAGAGATGAGAAAAAGATTCAGATTACTTAAAATGGTGGACTGGAGTCAATCCAGGAGACCCTCCTAGGAGGAATATTCTCTGGAAATTATAAAGGACAAGAGGAAAGGTATTTTCAATGAGCTGCTCGAGTGAGGCGTATGAATCTTATTTCTCACTGTATTTTTCCCTGTAAACATCCAAGCACACATTATTAGAAGGTACATATATGAGATCCATTAGTAATTATGCTGTCCAGGGGCAAGACAAGAAGGCAGATAATAAAATATTCATCACATAGTAAATGTCGAAGCTGGGCTAGGTTCCTCACACCTGTAATCCCAGCATTAAGAAGCCGAGGCAGGAGGACTGCAAGCTCCAGTTCAGCCCAAGCATGTTCCATAGCAAGACTGTCTCAAACAATAACAACAAAAAAACTAGCTGTCCAGTCAACATTCCAGCACTAGTGTAGCAACCCCTATTTGGAGAGCTACCGGCGTTTGAAGGCTCCTTAGGGTGAGAGAGTCAGTTTTCTTCAGGGACAAGGTCCTGGATAGGTTACCCAAGTGCTTAGCCCTCCACTCAAGTACATACAGGCAACACTAATTGGACTCGTATTTATAATTATAGAGGAAGAGGGCATGAATTTGAGAGACAGTAGAGGCACACAGTAGGAGTTGGAGAGAGGAAAGAAGGGTGAATATGATGAAAATACATTCTATTTTATTTGAGACAGGGCTTCACAGTGTAGTCCAGTAGTCCAGGCTGCCCTGGAACTCACTGCAATCCTCCTGCTTTAGCCTCCTGACTGTTACATTATAGTTGTGAAGCACCACCAACTCAGAGGTCAGTTTTTCAAGAAGTTTATAAAAAAAGGTATGTGAGGTTATGCCTAGAAGAAGTTCAAGGGTTGGGAAAAATAGAGAGTTATTCCTTTATCTTTTCGCCTTGTTTTGAGCTTGGTCCTTCTGTAGACTGAGAAAGAAGCAGAAAGATTGCACCTCTTGAGATATCTAACGGACTAGTGGCACAGGGCCTTGGACAAGGCAGGAAGGGACAGGAGTCAGAGTTCAAGAGGAAGCTGACCATTTTATCTTTTTAAAAAAAAATTTAGTCTTTGACAGTTTCATACCTGTATAGCAGTCCTTCTTACCCTGTTACTCTTCCTTCTCCTCCTGAAACCCTTCTTTCCAGCAACTTTCCTTCCCACTTTCATGTCCTTTATATGTGTGTGACCCCCTGAGTTTAAACAGGATTGCTTGGGCTGGAGAGATGGTTCAGCGGTTAAGAGCACTGACTGCTCTTGCAGAGGACCCGGGTTCAGTTCCCAGCACCCAAATGGTGGGTAACCGTCTGTAACTCCAGTTCTAGGGAATCTGACACCTTGTTCTGACCTCCTAGGGCATTGTACAACATGGGTGCACTTAAACATGCAAGCCGTACACTCATACACATAAAATTTTGAAAATAAGAAAATATTAAATAGAATTGCCTGCATGAGTATGGGTGGGAGATTATTTATTAGAATAACTTATCGGTGGTTACACCAGTGATGAAAGTGACACTTCTTCCCCTAGCCACCATGACCTGTCAGTAGTCCCTCAGGGAAGCTTACCCTTTGCAGAATTAAATGTTGATAGGCCTAATTTTGTTCAGGTATTATGCAGGTAAGCATAGCTGCAGTGAGTTCATGAGTGCATTGGTTATGTCATGTGTAGAAAATACTGCTACAGTATTCTTTCCAAAACTCTTGTCTCTTATAGTCTTTTTGCCTCCTCTTCCATGATGTTCCATGAGCAGCCTTGGGTGAGTGAGTGAGTGAGTGTGCGTGTGCGTGTGCATGTGTGTGTGTGTTATAGATGCCACATTTATTTTTAGTTTTTAATTTAAAACTAATTATTTTTTTTATTTTTTTATTATTTATATTTTATGTGTGTTCATGTATTGCCTGCATGTAGGTAAGTGCACCCGTGTCGTGCAATGCCCGTGGAGGTCAGAAGAAGCTGTTGGGTCCCTTGGAACTGGAGTTACGGACAGTTGTTGGCTGCCATGTGGGTGCTGGGATTCGAACCCGGGTGTTCTGCAAGAACAGCCAGTGTTCTTAACCACTGAGCCATCTCTTCAGCCCCATAAAAAAACTAATTTATTTTTATTTTATGTGTGTGAGTGCATTGCCTGCATGTGTGTGAGTACACCTATATTATGTGCTGAGGTCAGTAAGAGGGTGTCAGATCTTCTGGAACTGGAGTTATAGACGGTTGTTAGCTGCCATGTGGGTGCTGGGAATCGAACCCAGGTTCTCTGCAAGAGCAGCCAGTGCTCTTAACTGCTGAGCCATCTCTCCAGCCTCAGATGGGACTCATACTCAAAAACGGGAAAGTTACTGTAGACATCTGTTGGCTTAAATTTATACAGGATTCTTTTCCTTTTTCACAGCATTGACACCGATCATTTACATGAAGATACATTTAGAAAGATGGAAGCTTTAAAAATGACTAAGCCTGAACTCAAATGGTAGTTTTCAAGGAGAGTGCCTGAATGGACTGCCTATGGACCCTCTCCATCTTGTATCATCTTTAAATTCTGTACGGTATTATTTTTCCAAATCTGTTAACCTTTGCAGAGGATAATAGTGTGAAATAAGCAGCAGTGATTGCTTTCCTACATAAATCTATCCAGTAGGTAGGCTGTATCAAGTAGAAATGCCTTAATTTAAATCTTTTTAGTAATATTTTACTTATATAGTATTTTGTTTACTGTGCTGTCATAGAAGCCTTCTAAGCTTGGAAGATGATATTCAGGGAAGTTGTAACTAGCTCTAGGTCACACAGCTCCTTAGTGGAAGAGTTGAAACTGGAATCCAGCCAGGTCTTCTAATACCCAGACTATAAAGAGAAATAACAGAATCAGCCCCCCCACCCCCAAATAAGTCCACTTGAATAAAGTACTTGAAAGGCTAAGAGATTATACATGTACATGTTCTATCGTATTGTGCTGATTTAACTAAATTTGTAATTCATGAATGAGAGGAAAAGGAAAGACTTCATGAAGGAGGTGGTACTTGATGTGACCGTGAAGAATGAATTGGATCAAGATCAGTGAAGATATAATGGCCAATGGTGGGCTGTGGATAAGGCTCAGTGTAGAGTACTTGCCTAGCATGTGTGAGGCCCAAGATTTGATCCCCAGCACACACACAAAATACAATGGCCAGTAGCTTTGAGACTACAGGGTTATAGGGATGTGTTTGTGAGCAGCTCTCAGAAAGAGTGAACAGAGAGAAATAGTTGCATTATAAGTTTATGGACCACCACAGTACACTCCAGATTCCTTAAGAGTGCTTTCTAGTTCCACATTTCAACAACCTTCCTGAACTTTTAATTCCTCCCAAGTGTGATTATATTTGGTACATAGGTTCCCAAGAGTGACTCACTTGTCATTCCTGACAGTACTTTGCTTAGCCAATACCAATATGTATAACCCCGTTTCTATTTCTAACTAGTTTCTACAAAATAACAGATGGGAAAAATGGAGGAAAGCCTGCTGTACAAGGAAAATAGCATAAAGTCAGATAAATAAGAGGAAATGTGGTAACAGAAAGTAGGCTGACCTTATTTAAAGTATAGAGTTGGATCTGAAAGCTATTTAACTAGCTCTGTGACCATGTTCAAGTCATTTGAACTTGTAGAGCCTCAGGTTTGTTATTAGATCTATAAAATGGGAGAAATTGACATTAACCTTACAAGATTCTTCTGCCACATGCTGCCTGTTCTTCAGTAGTCTACAGCCTTTTGTTTGTTTTTTGAGACAGGGTCTCCCTGTAGCCCCAGTTGGCTTGGAACTTATAGACCAGATTGGCCCAAGTCTCAGAGTGTCTCTGCCTCTGCCTCTGGAGTTCTGGGATTAAAGGCATGTGCCACCAAACCCATCTATTTTACAGTCTTGGACCTCCTAGATTTTCTTCCTGTTCTGTAGGCATTGTTAACTGTGCATTTGAACTCAGTGAACACACGAAGTAGTAAATCTAGTCGGGAAGTTAAACCAGATAAGAGATTATAGAAGAGCCCTTATCCTTGTCCTTACCCATCGTTGTACATCATTCCTTATTGCCCTCAGGAATAGGTAAGACCAGGTCTGTACTAAGAACAGGGTAGATAGTTTGTGTCCAACTTTCTCTAATTCTTCCTTCCTTTTAGTCACACATTTATTGTTCTTTATATTAATAGGTTTTGTGTTGTTGTGTTTTATGAAGATGGAATTTATGCTTTCCTGAGCCCCTCTTCCACCATGTTGTATAACTACTGTCATCCCGCTTGTGAGCAAAAGTCTGATAAAATCAGTTACTTTAAGTACTCAAAGATCTCAGTATAGTGACACATGCCTACAGTTTCAGAAGGAAAAGGCAAGAGTATTAGGAATTCCAGGCTAGCTTAGGTTACATGAAAAACCCTGTCTTAGAAAAAAACATACTCAAAGATTTAAAGTTAAGTGAAAATTGCAAAACTGTATGTGTGTATGTCCAGTTTGTGAACAAAACTCTGTATAGCATGTGTATGTATGTTTTCAGAAAAATTCATGGAAAGATATGTACAAGAAACTGCTAACAGTGATTGCCTCTGGTTAGGGGAATTTGAGCATTATAGCAGTAGAGAGAACTTTTCTTTGGTAGTACTCTGTTCTACTGGAAGTTTTCTACCATGTTTATATGACTTTTATAATAAATAGACTTGATGTTAAAAATCAGTCTCAAGGCTGAAATTTTGTTCAGTGTTTTTAAAAAAGTCTTTTTAAAACGAAATGCAGGGGGCTAGAGAGATGACTCAGCAGTTAAGAGCACTGGCTGCTCTTGCAGAGGACCCAGGTTCAATTCCCAGCACCCACAGAGTGGCTAACAGCTATCCATAACTCCAGGTCCAGGGTAATCCAACACCCTCTTCTGACCAGTCTGGGCTGCAGCTTGAGGTTCTCTTAAATGAAAGGAAGAAAGAGAAAGGGAAGGAAGGGAAGTGGAATGGAAAGAAAATAATGGAGGGCAGGCATTTTTAAGCAGGAGAGAAACACAAGAAAAGAAATATTTGACAATATCAAATTTAGGTTTCTTAATGTTAAAAAGTATATTGAATGAAGTTCAAACTCTAGTGATAAACTGAAAAATGTTTAGCATACATATATAAAGGGTAGGCTAACATCCATAATATAAAAGCATTACATCACTATGAGAAAACAAAACTTGAGATGCTTCCATTTATACAAATGTTGGAGTAACAATGACTGCATTTCTCCTCTCACATATACGTGTGTGTGTGTGTGTGTGTGTGTGTGTGTGTGTGTGTGTCCAATTTTCAGACATTATATAACAGATTTGGAAGAAATAGAAAAAATAACAAGATAGTAGGTTTAAATCAACCTTATCCTTACTTTATCCTTAATCAACTGAATACACACAAATATGTACCAGCACATCTCTCTCTCTCTCTCTCTCTCTCTCTCTCTCTCTCTCTTTGTTGTTGAGACAGGGTCTCCCTGTAGCTCCAGCTGGTGTGGAATTCACTATGTAGACCAGACTGGCCTTGAACTCACAGAGATCCACCTGCCTCTGCCTCCAGAGTGCTGGGATTAAAGGTGTGTGCCACCACACCTGGCATCCGTAGCAACCCAATTAAAAGATTGAGATTGGTAGAATTGGAAGAAAATGACCTCAGTACATGCTGCCTATAAGAAACCCAGTTTCAATATAAAAATAGGCTGGAGAGATGGATCAGTGGTTTGGATCACTTGCTGCTCTAACAGAGGACCTGAGTTCAGTTCCAAGCACCCACATCAGGCAGCTCATAACCATCTGTAACTCCAGCTCCAGAGGATCTGACACCTTCTTCTGGCTTTTGTGGGTACTGCACCTGTCCACATACCCATACACAGATATGTACTCATAATTAAAAATAAAATCTTTTAAAAACAAACAGGTTAAACATAAAAGACAGGAAAAGATTCATGCATATATTGTTGTCATAAAATTATATTTCAAATCAAAAGAATATTGTTAATGATGGGTAAGATAGCATACACCTTTAATCCCAGTACAGAGGCAGGTGAGTCTCTGAAACAGAAGTCAGCCTGGTGTACATAGTTCCAGTCCAATTGGAGCTACAGGGAGAAATAGAAAGGGTGGGGGCTGGAGAGATGGTTCATCGTTAAAGAGCATTGCATGCTCTTGCAGAGGACCCAGGTTCTATTCCCACATTGTGGCTCACAACCATCCGTAAATCCACTTACAGGGAAATACGACGCTGCCTTCTGATCTCCATGGGCATTGCATGACACGGGTGCACTTACTTACTTGCAGGCAATACATTCATACACGCAAACATAATAAAATTTTTAAAGGGCCATTTCAACATCATAAAGTGACCAATTCATTATATAATCTTTGCATATATATATGTATCTAATAACTGATATTCTAAGTACTTGAAGTAAAAAATGGCTGAAGTTAAGAAGGGATAATCAAGTCTATAATTTTAGTTAGAAATTTCAATACCTGTCTCTCAATAATTGATAGACCATGGAGGTTGAAAATTAGTAATATAGAAAATTTGACTTCTGGGTAAGATAGTGAGCCAGAAGCTGCCTCAATATGACCTAGTGGACAAGTGTCAGGAGAAGAAAAAAATGGACTCTGTTACAAAGAGGGAAAGGCCATCAGAAATTCACAAAGTGGGTGACAGGACAGCTGAAAAGCACAGAGAAACAAGTACAATGATGTGAAAAGATGTACACCAAGCCAGAAAGAACTCTAGCCACATGGCTTCTCAGTGGGAGGAGGGGAAGTAGAAGCCTTATCCGAAAGGTAAGCTAGGTGACCCTGATGAAAAGAGACTGGCAGTTTTAGCCCCTAGGACAAACCCACAGCTCCCACAAGCCTCAAATCCAGTTGCAAATCTTGCTGAGACAGTGACTTCTTTGGTGAGCTGAGTCATCAGTGGAGAGACAGTTCTCCTTGATGCAGATGGCTATTGACTTGGAGTCATCTTCTGAGGAAACCTATTGTTTTTTATAATTTATTTTTATTTTATGTGTATGAATATGTTGCCTGCATGTCTGTAAGTGCACCCATGTCGTGCAGTACCCATGGAGGACAGAATAAGGCATCAGATCCCCTGGAACTGAAGTTATAGACAGTTGTTAGCTGCCATGTGGTACTGGGATTTGAACTCTGGTCCTCTGCAAGAGCAGCCAGTGCTCTTAACCACCAGAAACCAGAAACATTGTTTAAAAAGAAGAGCTGATCTTCTTAAAGGGAGGGATTCTAGATAGGCTAAGTAGACCTCAGTCTTGCACCAAGGGACATCTGGAGGTACCAACTTGACTTTATAGGCCCTAATATAAATGACAGAATGCATGAATTACAGTGGGGGTGTGTGTTATGGGAGGGTGCCAATGGGGAAGGGGATATAAAGATGATTAAGATATTCTGCATGAAATACACAAAAATTCAATAAAAAGTTTATTTGAAAAAACCTCAGCACCCTTGGGGACAGAGAACAGGGAACAATCACAAATCAGTGTGATCGACTCACCACAGTCCCAGGGTAAGAGATAGCTCTGGGAGGCTGTTGAGAGCAGGAGGGCCAGACACTGACAAATTGATAAGTATAGGAGGCAGGAGGCTTGGCTCACACAGTGAAGTATATGGAGAAAGCTTAGCTTTTCATTAGTGTGTAGAAGCAACTGAGAACAAATCTAGAGGTTAATATCCCTGATCCTGAGGTCAGTGGCTGGGTCAACTTCTGAAACCACCTATGGAGTTAACTGTGGTAGTGAACTCCAAGAACTCAAGCTGCAGTGAACTACTTACCATCGACAGCCTCATTCCTCCAGGAGGCAAATTAATGCTTAGTGGACTTTGAAAATAAAAAGACAGGTTTGCCTGGACAGATATCAGTTCTGTGGAAGCATCTTCCATTTGCAGGACACTTGAGAGACACCTTCCAACTAAAATGTTAACCACAGGCGGTATGAATTGAAGAGTCTGGGAAAGGTGGAAGAACCTGCCCAGTCCACAGACTACAAAGCCAAGGATATCCAGCAGAGGCTTCCAGTATAGAAAGAAGGGGAGTTACTAGAGGGATGACAGCCCCGCCTGACATCAGACACTTCTTGAATACAGGCTCAGCACTAGCATAAATGACCAGGAAGCCAAGAGTTGAACAAGTTCAATGATAACCCCTCACAACCACATATACTTGGTGGTCTGCAATTTCTAAGGACCCACAAAGAAGCTGCTCCAACACTTTTTCTTTTGAGATTTCATGTGTGTGTGCATATGTCTGAGTGTGACTTACGTGCACATGTATGTACAGATGCCCTAGGAAGTCAGAAGAGGGTGTGTGATCCCTTGTAGCTGGAGTTACTGGTGTTTGTGAATCACCTGAAGTAGGTACTGGGATCTAAATCCTGGTCCTTATGATTGAGGAGCAAAAGCTTTTCACACTGAGCCATCCCTCCAGCCTCTCTTTTTTGGTTTTTTTTGCATTTGTTTCCACTTTTTTACTGTACATTTAGTAGTCTTTTCATGTTGACATATAAACTTTTTATCCCCCTTCATACATTTATCCATCTTACACATTTTTATTAGACAAATAATTGTTCTTTTCTTTACTATTTTTCATTATTAGACATTTTTCTTTTCATTTTTCTCCCACTTTTGTCCTCTTTTTTTATTCCCTATGTTTCTCCCCACCTCCTTTTTCCTTTCTGCTATACTATCTAGTACTGGCCTGGAACTCACTATGGAGACCAAGCTGGCTTTGCTTTCAAAGAGGTCCGCCTGCCTGCCCAGTGTGCAGAGTAAAGCACCACCATGCCTAGCATTGTTTAATTCACCTTCTTAAATTATCCAATTTTGGTAACACATTTTTGCATTATTGTGCATCTTTTTCTGCTTTTTTATTCTTTCTAATTGCTCACTCTTAAAACATTCTTCTCTACTCTTCTTTTTCAATCATTAATGCTTTATCTCCCTGTGTTCTCTTTCTGCCCTGCCCTCTTCCTTTATCTCAGTTGCTTACTGTTTCTACAGTTAACCAAAGTAATTTTTAACTTCATAATATCATTACTTCTGCTGTTTTCTGTTTTATGGTCACTGATAATGTATTAGTGAGCTTTAATAAATTTTATGTAAATATATTGTGCGTGGTTTGGTATCATTGCTGTTACAGAGGGTTTTTTTTTCCCTACTCTCTGAATGGTATTGGGTATTAAGCCCTCAACTAAGGTTGCTCACTAAGATCCCCAAATAAAGCTGAAAGGCAGATCTAAGCCAAAAGATGCACAAATTGTAACACAGAAACACAAGAAACACGAAAACTCAAGGCAACATGACTCCTTCAAAAGACTGTAACTCCTCAACTGCTGAATTCAAAAGAATTGAAATGAGTAAAATGCCAGATAACGATTTCAAAAGTTTACTGGGAAAAATGATCATTGACTCCCAAAGGATATAAAAAAGTGGGTTAAGGAAGGATGGTAAATCAATCCAGGGCCTGAAGAGGAAAGTCGGAAACTTAGAAGAGGAAGTAAGCAAAAATGGATAAAGAAATGAGTATTATAGAGAGGAATCCAACAATGGATTTGAGATTTTGAAAATAGGAAGGTTTATACTGAGTACAATAATTATAACTATTAATTCAACATTGTGAACCTAAGAATGCTACAGGGAGACCCTGTCTCAAA